TTTTTTAAAAGGATGACGCATTTGATTGTAGTAATTGTTGTAGGTAAAATATCCAAATTTATCACTAAAGTATAGTGGAGGGACGAATCCACCCTAAATAGAAAATAAAGATAAATTCACTTATAAAATTTTTTATTTGGATAAATCACTTTAAATTTAACGTATAACATCATTTGACATCAGCAATCTGATAATTTAACATCAGCAATCCGTTAACAAATTAACAGATTGTTGATATTAAATAATGTCACACATTAAATTTGGAGTGATTCATCCAAGTCAAAAATTTTGTGAATAAATTTATCTCCATTTTTTGTTCGATGGTGGATTCATCATTACCATTATACTTTGAGAGTGAATTTAGATATGTTGCTATTGTTGTATACCCTGCCCCTAATTTTAAGTGAATTCTATTATTTACCAGGAATATCATTTTAAAATTTTATTTGTAGATCGCAATGACTTTATAGCTAAGTGATTATGTCCTTATGCAAGAAATAAGAGATTTTGAATTCGAGTCACATGGTATTTTTTTTTTTATTTTAGTTACACAATAAGAGCAATTATTTTTCATCTCTTATTTCACCTCACCCGCATACCATACAATTCAGATTCAGAACCTTACTTCCAATAAAAAAAATAACTACTGAGATACTTAAGTAGTTGACAAAAATATATATATTTATATATATATATATATATATTTGTAGATATGAGTGATCGATATGCATTTTACATAATAAATTTTTAAATGATTTTATTGACAGTATAAAGTGTCGTTTTTAAAATCTAGCATAATAGAAATTGCATTCTAAAGCTCATTAACGCGTCTAATAACCACTGTAACTATTATTAAGAGTGCATTTAAAAAATAAAAATATTCTTATTTATCAAAACGAAGGGTACTAGAGTAGCTTCCTTTTAAAAGCATGAAGCTCTTAATTGTAACAATCTCGTACACATAGCAATGAATTTGTTATCTACCCCAAAAGGACTACTTGTGTTTATTATTATCATTCACATGAGTATACATTTTGATTCAATATATTATGTAATATATTGATTAAAAATTATTATTTTTTAATATAAAATTTTAAAAAATAAATTTAAAAATATAACCATTTACATAAAATACAAAAGTCGATTAAATTGATAATATTTGTATCATAATTTTAATAATTGAATAAAAATATATTAAAAAATATATTAAATCAAATATGCCCTAATAAATTTTCTTATTATTATTATTTCCGTGCATGCTAGATTTATTAAAAATATTTAAGCTATTTCCGCCCAAACCAACAGTTTTTAAATCCGTTCAGACAGAATGAACCGTCTCTTTTAAAAGAATATCTATTGAAACTGCAAATATCTCTACCAAGACAGGAAATCAACATTGCTTATGCTGTGTTGGAAATGCTGTATTTTAAGTATGTAACAACCCAGAATAAGGAACAGAAACAAGGTGAATGCTTGCAAATAGCTAAGCAAACTAACTTCCACCGTACACAAAGCAAATGAAGAATCTAGAGCATCCTGTGCCAAGAACAAGCATCAACCAAGAACAGATGGATAATAGAAAGAAAGCATTTATTTATTGCTTAGGTGATGTAAACAGGGTGACATAAGCATGCTAATTCACAAGGTAAATGTACAAACACAAGCGTTGGTAAAGAAAAGAAAAAAAAAAGGGTTGGGCGGGGGGTGGGTGGGTGGGGTGACTTACAAACGCAAGGAAGCATGCTGCATGCTCTGTCCTCGGAGAAGCAGAGAAAAGGAAAGGATACATAAAATGATGATTGGCAGACAGGAGTAAAAGAAACCATGTCTACATTAGCCTACATTAACATGAAATTGCAGTGCACTTGTGAACCGACCATTTTCCAAGAGAGAAGTGACATACCGGTACTAATATCTGATAGCTCCTGCAAATTTAATATGAAATTTCAACAGATGCATTAGAATTGTACAGAAAAAATGTTTTAGCTTCTTTGTCATAGCATTGATGCATCAATTTCACAGTACTAAAACCATTGTTTCTTGAAGATACAAATAATTGAAACCATCAAAACAGTTTTAGCAGGGCAATTTTCAAAGTAATATATGAATCATTCTTCTCAATGTGTGTTTACGTGTGCATCATGCATGTGAATGTGCTTCTAGAGATTTCTCATCAGACTCTTCGGACTAAGTCATGTTTTTTAGTCATTGAAATGGCTTGAAAACTCAGGTTCCTGGAATTTGGAATCTGGACAATTTACCTGGAACAAAGCTTTCTCAGTTTAATTCTTTCTTCTTTTTTTTTTTTAAATTCTAAATCTTTACATCCTTCTGCCTGCTCAACTTTATAAGTTTCTAGATAAAATGTTTCCCATACCATCTAATTCCCTGCTACTAATGTTGCTTTTGTAATGAGAAACAAGAAATGAAGTACAGCAGATGCAGATTTTAGCACAATAGAACCAAAACAAACTTTTAGTAGACATTTTCCTTAGCGAATACAGAGATAATATGTGAAATCAACCAAGCAACTCTTTGTCAAGCTGAAAAATTGAAAGAATGGACATTCCAGATGGCATCAGACAATATCATGAAATTCTAAACATCCGCCAGGGTTGTTTTTTATCAAAAATCACATTCGTTTTCCATTTCCTTTAATGATGGTTTATTAATGGCAATGCTACAGTATCATGTTTTCTATCATTGTTCAATACCATCTCATAAATTTGAGATTTTTGTAAAATAAATAGAGCACAAAAAAATTTGTGTAAATACTATCCTGACCACAAAATCTCAGATGAAAACTCTCAATCAATTTTAGGCAAAAGATTAAAAGAAGAGGATGACACAAATTTTCAACTTCATTCAATGTAAATTGCTAAGAAACTGCTGTTACTTACCAGTTTTGCTAGAACTCTGCTCCAAGTCAATCCTTTCTTGCCTTGACTGGTTAATATCAGGAGATTCATACTCAACAGGCCTGCTGTCAGATGAAGAACAAGATTGGGGAACCGAAAATGAAATTCTGCTAGAATTATGCTTCTTAGATGCAGAAGATTCAGCAGTCGAGCAGAGGTCTTCATTTGTTTTTGAGGTAGAAACTTCTGTCATGTGATTGTCAAATTTATTTGTGCACTTCTCTTCTTCAATATGTTTTGGTCTCTTCCTATTAGATGAACCATTTTTGCAATTTTGAACCGATGGCACCTTCTGATCATTAGATGAAATGGTGGGACAAGGACCCTTTTCCTCAAGGATTACTTTGGGAATGGCTGAATTCTCAATGCTTGATGAATTATCAACAACAATTGTACTGTCCAAAGTCCCAGCCTTTGCAGTTGCTTCCATTTCCCACATTTTAAATATAGCTTCAGTCAGACATTCCCGAGCTGAATCTATATCAATTATTGGTTTTGGATAGTTTAAACCTAACTCCACCCCTGCAGCTTTAAGCACAGTGAGTGGTGCATCCCAAGGATGATGAATCCACTCAGTGGGCATTCTTGCTAGTTCTGGTAGCCACTGTCTTACGTACTCACCCTCTGGGTCATATTTGGAGCCTTGAATCTGACTCAAACACAGGAATCAAACAATTATTGTTTCAGTTGACAAATTTCAAAACTTTTTCAATACATACTAAAGAAATCCACTTCAACAAAAATGCAAAAACTCACGGACATTGGGGTTCATAGCCTCATTCTCATGTTACTATGAATAGAAATGCTTATGATGATGTAGCATACTTGCAAGAATTTGAAAACCTTGTGCCCTTATAATTAGCTATTTTTTCAATTGCGAGTTCATGAATAAATAACAAAACACAATATACCTGTGGGCTGTCCAATCGATCTAGCTTGTGGCCATCTGGCAAGCTCCCAGAGATATACTGCCAACCAAGGATATCACACTCTAAATCTGCATCCAAAAGTGTGTCCCAGAAATACTTCAACCCCCATTTCCATGGAAGAAGAAGAAATTTCACAGAAAAACTCGAAACAATCACTCTTATTCTGTTGTGTATCCAACCAGTAGCCCAGAGCTCTCTCATTCCAGCATCCACCAATGGATAACCAGTCCTACCCTGTCTCCAGGCCTTGAAGTGGCCAGGGTCAGCATTCCAAGGAAAATATTTCAAGTTGCTCAACAATGACCTCTCATGAGTGAATGGGAAGTTGAAGCAAAGATAACGGGAGTATTCTCTAAGACCAATTGCCTTCAGGAAAAGTTTTACACTCTCTTCACCTTGAGAATTCTGTTCTCTTCTCCAAAGTATTTGTTTCATACACACACTTTGGAAGACTTTTCTCACACTTAACTCTCCAAAATGTAGATATGGGGACAAAAGGGATGTGGCGTTCTCCCCAACCTTTTGCCTATTCTTTGAATAATCAAGTAGATGATGTTCAACAAATTCAGTAAAAACCTTCTCCGCGTTGCTCCAACCTGGAGACCACCCTCTTCCTAGTAAGGCATTGCTGGATTTTTCCAATTCATTTTCAAGACCCAACTCCTCAATGGAGCACTTCTCCACTGTCCCTGTCATTAACGAGATTGGAAATTCATCAACTAGTTCTATATCTTAATAACAATCATTGTAATTAAATAACCTTCAATTAACAGTTAATTGTGTTACCAAGAAAGAACCACGACAAATAAAAGAAACTGTCCAAATTTACCTGCAACCAGCACCAATCGCCAAGGGGGTAGATGCAGAACAGGCTCAGTTGGCATGTGCAAGCACTTATTCCAGTAAGCATCAAAGGTTGTAAAAGCATGTCCTTTTTCATCATATATTTCCCACGGTTCATACAACAAATCACCATTATAGCTTTGCACAGAAATGCCTCGTTCTGCCAGTTTCTCTTTAATGCTGTGATCACGAACTAGTGAAATGGGATCTGAGAAAGAAAGGAGGAAAAGAACAGAAAAGAAAAGGTAAGCAAGGGAAGGAAGCCAAAGAACTCTAAAACACCCACCAATTAATCTACCTTGAAGGTAATAAACAAACCCAACAATATTAGTATTTTACATCGTTTTCCTTGCTTCCTTCTGTATGCTTACAAATATGTTTCTTGTGTTATGCAATGGTATATAACATCTTACATTTTTAGGATAGTTTTCAATTCTCGAACACTATCTTTTGAAGATATATTACCATTAAACCTGATCACTACATAATTTCTCAATGAAAACTAAGCATCTTATGTTTGTTTGCATTTCAAAAGAAATAGCCTAAATTCTCTGCTATAAACTAATTAAAATAGGAAGTTAACAGTTATGATCTAATTAGAAGCCTGTCTAAATCAGTATCGGCCAGTACAGTTAAAATTGTTGGGTCTGAATGACAGAAGGACGATAACACTCAAAAGTTCAATAAGTAAATTCAAATTCATATATATACAATTAAAAGCAGAACTGAAAAAAGGGATCAGAAATACACCATAAAGATTGTTGAAAACCAGTTTTCTTGCACCAGTACCCTCGATGCAACCCAAAAGCGCAGCAAGGGTGCTCTCCGCCTTGATCAAAGCAAGTTCAACCCCAAGAGACTTCAATGACTGTCCCAAGTAGACAAGAGATTGCTTCAGCCACCATCTCGATACTCGACCAGGATAGAACTGCTCTTCTTCTTTAGGGCACCATATATAGACAGGAAAGACACCACCATCCCTTGCAGCAGCGGCTAAGGCCGGATTGTCTTCAATCCTTAGGTCCCTCCTAAACCAAACTATAGTTTTCTTGCTACCCATTTTCAGGGACCAAAATCACCCCTCAGACCAAATTGTTAGAAAGCTCTCGACAATCTCTCTTTTATCTCCCCAACAATCTCAAACAAGGAACATGAAAAAGTTCCTAATTGATCAAAACTCAGTCAAATAACCAGAACTTTTTCAAGCAATCATAAGAGTTCTACAATAGCACTCACCAAATAAGCGTTCTTGTTCATCCAAAGTACCAAACTAAATATTAAGAACCCCCCCCCCCTGCTGCTATGATTGTAGCAGTAAAAATTTGGCCCAACCAGATGTAGACCAAACAATCAGGCACTAAAGCTCCTTTTGCAGCTTCTTTGCCGCAACTTTGTACTCAGGATATCCAACCCAAATCTAACTCAAATTAACTCTTCCCCACCTGTCTCACAAATCATGATTTCCACCAATCAAATACCACAAACCCCAGAAGAAAAAAAAAAATCTCCAAATTAAAACCCTTGATGCAGACCCCCACCTGAAATCGGTCAGATATAGACAACCAAACAAATAAAAAGAAGAAGAAACAGACACCCTTATAGCCCAGGAAGACTGTTTACCATTCAAGCACTTTCCCACCAAATTTCTTTATACAGAAAGAGATCAGAATCTAATTTCATACCCAGAAAACAGGTCAGATTCACCAACCTTTCAGATTAAAGAATGTTATCCAGAAAGTACAGACATAAATAGATAAATATAATATTATAATATTTTCATACAACCCAGAAATAATAATCAAATTAAAATTACTACTTACCACTCTTCAATCTGAGTTAACATGTCAAAAATAGAAAGATCGTAAATTTCTTCTCAATATGAAAAAACAGTCAAAAACAAAAATATCATGGTTTGGTGGAAATAAATGCTACATACTGATACAGAGACTTTTTCCATGGATCAAATGGAAAAGAACTGGCAGTGTCTTCATATGTGGAAATTTTGTGAAGTGGTTGATTTTGATCCTTACATGTGTCAAGATCACGTGGGGCTATCCAGCAATGATGGTAGACGGTAGACATATCTTGTCTTCTCTGTCTTTGTGGATCCTCATTCACTGCTGTAATAAGTCTTCAATTTCAAGATGCTGGCAAAAAGAATAGTCCTCAAGATTAAAAGGAGAGAAAAATGATCTTTAACGATGATGGTCTTAAAGTTTAAATCTTTCAAAGAAAATGGGGGATATTGCATACAATTTATGACCAGTTAGGGTAGTCCATAGACTCCATACTCATTAAACACTGGCTTGTCAAAAAAAAAAAATGATAATAATACTCATTAAACACTGGCAAGAAAACAAATTTTTTTGATATCTCACATTAAATATTGAGAAATGAAAATTTTTTTTGCTTCAACATTTACAAGCATATAAAAGTAATTTTAAAAACATAACGTATATTGTTACTTATTTATTAATAAATTTAACTTTAGAGATTGGAATACTATTATGCAAAATAACATAAAACCTTAGCAAATTGCTTGTCTTTGAAGAGATTCGTAGGAAGAAAAACTTTTGTGAAGCAACCTGCCATATTGCCACTATTTTTTTTGGTGCAGTAGGTAATGCCTTAAGAGCATAAAAAATAGATGTGAGGTTCTCGTAGGATGACAATTTTCTTCGAGACCCATGAATCTTTGTGGAGATTTTTGTTGTAAGGATGGAGATTTTAAGAATATTTTTTCTCGTGACATGAGGATGAAGATTTTAAGAATATTTCTTCTCATGACATGAGAATGAAGATTTTAAAAATATTTCTTTTCGTGACATGAGGATGAAAATATTTTTTTTCTTACAAAATTTCTTGAGGAATCTCTTTTGTCCCGTAGAGGCCCGTAAAAATCCATATATAATAAAAAAATTTAAATTTATTCTTATTTTTTCCCCAAAAATTTTCTAGTGGCTTCGCACGTGTGAAATTTAGATACGGACATACCACTTACTTTGCTAAAAATAAGAAATGAGAACTTTTCCAACGACTCTCTCTTTCTTTATAGTCGACCTCCTTACAGATGACAAAAAAAACGTTGGATTAAAATTGAAATTTGCACCTACAGACAATTTGCAAGAGGGAGGGATACCTTCCTGCAAAATGGGTTACAAAATCTACCTTAGACAACTTTAATTACAAAATCTACCTTAGACAACTTTAAGAACTTAAATACTACCATGACTTAAAATTAACAAATCCTAATTAAACTAAATAGCATGCAATTTAAAGTAAATTTACGAGAATAAGATGTACCTAAATTAAATTAAACATATTCATTGTTAAATTAAAATGGTATCTACTAACAGATCTAGAAATTAAACTACTGCAGAATTGGACAATTAACCTTAATTAATGTTAAAATTAAACATAAATAGTGAATAATCTAACATGCTTGAAATTAAGAAGAAGCGTGAATGCCATATAAGTAATCATTAAAAAAATGTTACTTATCATAAATATTAAATTAATTACAGACAAAAAAAGAACAGTACCTTAAATAAACTTGAAAGATTGAAATTCATTGCATGAAACAAAATTGTTGAAGCGAATGCATGAATTAGTTTACCTACTAGAATGATGAAAAACAACTTAGATCTACTGGAAATTGTGTTGAAATATGAAATCTGGAAGCAATTGCAGAGAAAATAAAGTTTGAAAATTTACAAATTTTTTAATAGGGCAAGCCATGTGTTCTTCCTTCCAAAATTTCCTTTTTGTTCTCCTTTGACCGACAGTAACTCCTCACTTTCTGTAGTTACAAAGTTATGGGTGGTTTCTTGAGATAATGAGACAGTTCAACAGTTAACTTGGTCAGATCTCCTTCCAGATTGTCGCCACCTGTGCCCTTATCAAATAACTGCCTTCTGCAACTGCAATCTCCTCCTAAATTTCAACTAAAACAGTCCCTTTTTGACTCAAAGATGTAATTACATGGTAAAATCTAATCTTTATCTCTTTTTTTGCCAATGTGGCAACTGATCTGTCATGAAACCCAAAATAACAAATCTAACATGACAAAATTTCTTTTATTCATTTAAAAATATTTTGACACGTGGCATAATTTTAAGTTTTTGTAATTTATGATGTAAACACATATTTTTTGTAAATATATTATTAATTAATTTTTACTCACCCAACTTAACCTAAATTGCCCAACCTAATTCCTTTTCCAATTCCAATCTTTCCAGACTCAATTCAATAATCCAACCCAACCTAAATTGGATATATATGGCAATTTATGCTTTTTTTTATGAACTTATTGTTAGATCTATTGGACGTTTATTTGCTACAATTAGTTGCTAGATATTATTTTGCTACACTATTAATGTATTTATTTGTTTGAATTTTTTTAAATTTTTATTTTTTTATTTATTAAAAAAATAAAATAATAAAATAAAATTCTATATATCTAATATTTAACATTTATCAAAAACTCTGAATACTTATAGAAAACCATTATTCTCTATAGGCATTGGACAAAGATCATTTTTTATCCCTAACAAGAATCTTTCATACCTATCATTGACAAAAGTGGGGATGAGGAGTCGTCCTCGCTCCCGTGAGACCCATTCCCATCCTAGGTCCTGAACCTACATTCGAACCTACACACTCCTAACAATATTTTACTCATTAAGTCTCGAATCCAAACATTGAGGCCGAATTGATGGTGCACTTACCTGTCAAAAGGCTGGAAACCACGTGGGAAGTGCCATTCCAAAACAAAAACTCAACTTTATTATAAATGCCTGCATGATAAGTATTCATATAGTGCAATCACATGAAGATTCAAGATAGTAGAAAACATATATATATATATATATATAAGTATATATTAATTTTGATTTTTAAAATAAATTAAAATTAAAATTTTAAATT